TGTGTGTGTGTGTGTGTGTGTGTGTGTGTGTGTGTGTGTGTGTGTGTGTGTGCTTGTTATATTGTTGATACTACCACCTCAAAGAAAACATGGTCTAGGAACTTGGATTCGGGTTGCCCTGTCTGAGGCATTCAAACATGGAAAGGTTCACATGAACTTCTATGGGTCTAAAACTAAAGAAAGTCATAAATCAAGGTATTTGCCAAATGTATTGGTGGGGAATCAGGTATGCAGTTTCCAGACTGATGTCTGAGGACATCCTTAAGTTTAGGGTGATGAGAGAAAATGTTGATGTACACTGAAAATTGTTTTAGCTGGTAGCTGAAAGGCAATTAGGTCAGGTACAGATGTGGGAATAAACAGCTATTAAGGGGACTAAAATAACTCCAAATAATTTTGGCTGGGGACCTGTAATTCTCCACAACTACCACGGCCTAATCAGTTGTCCTTGTAGAAACAGGTGTGACTCTCTTTTTCCTCTCTAAGTCAGTCAGTTCACAATATGTTCTGAGTATTAACATCTCCTGCTGTTCTGCAAATCATCTCTACTCTTGTTTGTTTTCTTTCTGCTCAAGACGCCTTGGCCCCATACAATCCCATTTGCCTATTTTGCTTTTGTTTCCTGTGCTTTTTGAATTTTGTCCAAAAAAAAAAAAAATCGCCTATATCAAAGTCCTGATTATTTACCTTGTCTTTCCCCTCTGTAGATTTTAGCTTGCTTGTTTGAGATGGGATCTCTCTGTATATCCTGTCCTGAAACTCACTGTGTGACCTTGAACTGATCTTGAACTCACAGATTTGCTTGCTTCTGCCACTGAGTGCTAGGATTAGAGGCAGGGGCTACCCTGCCCAGCTTCTCTCTGTAGTTTTATAGTTTCAGGTATTACAGTCTTATCTTTGTTTTCAATTGGTTTTTGTGTAGAGTTGAAGATAAGAATTAGGCTTCTTGTGGAGCGAGCGGGACACACACACATACACACACACACACACACACACACACACACACACACACACACATCCACCTTTCCCAGTACCATTTATCAAAGAGTTTCTATGTTCTCTAGTGCAGTTTTGGGCACTTTTGTTGAAATCAGTTGGCTGTAGATGCCTTAGATTATGCTTTTTCATTCTCTTCCTTTTGTCTGTTTGTAGAATTCAGGTCAGTACCATGCTATAGCACTGTGTGTATCTTGAGAACCCATGTTGTAATGCCTCTGGCCCTGCTCCTTTTGATATTTGGTTTTTTTTTTTATTTCCACACACTTAGGATCTTTTCTAGTTCTTTGGTATTTTGATGACATGGTATTGGCTCTATGTATCAATGAATAGCATGGGCATCTTAGCAATATTAATACTTTCAACTCAAGAATATAGGGCAAGGCTCCTTTTTCACGTGTGTGTGTTTCAATTCTTTCATTAGTGTTATTCACATTTCTATTTGTTTCTTCAGACAGTGTCTCACTATACAGCCCTGACTGTCCTGGAACTCATTATATAGACCAGGCTGCCCTGGAACTCACAGAGATCCCCTTGTCTCTCTCTACTTCTTTAGAGATGGGAAACGTGTTTGTCATCACACCTGCATATTTATATCCTTAATGAAATTTATCCCTAAGCAATTTATAGTCTGTGCCATCATGCCCAATATATACAGTGCTGGTGATGAAACCTAGGCACTTCTGAACACTAGGCAAGTACTCTGCCAACTGAGCCACATTCCCAGACTCCCTAGGCACTTTATATACTTATTTTGTAACTATGGTGATGCGATGGCTTTCATTATTTCTCAGAAAGTTTGTTATTGGTGCAGAAACATGATACGTTTTGTATGTTCATTTTGTATTTCTCAGTTTTGCTGACTAACTATATTAGTCCTAAGATTTCTTAGTGGAATCTTTTGGTCCTTCTATGTACAGATCATGTTATCTGCAAACAGAGACAATTTAACTTCTTTTCCTATTCATATGCTCTGATTTCTTTCTCCTCCTGGTTGCTCTACAGCCCAGGGCTATACGAAGAGTGTCACAGGAAAGCGTTCGTGAAGATCTTAGAGAAACACTTCCAGATCCCCCTTCACTCTGACACTGGCTGTGGGCTTGTGCGCTATAGTCTTCACGGTAACGCATGCTGCTTACACAGTTAGATTTGGCCAGAGTCTCTGCCACAAAAGGATGTTGACATTTCAATTAATTAATTAATTAATTGATTTTTTAAGACGGGCTTTCACCACGTTGCCCAGGGATTTTAATTTGTGATCCCTTACCCAGATCTTTGAATACCTAGAGATACAGGTGTGCATTGCCACACAGAATGGCGTGTGGCTGGAGTGGTGTCTTTGGCGTGCTGTTGAATTCATTGCTAGTTTAGGGGAGGGGGTATTTTTGAAATTTTTTTACATCCTTATTTCATCAGTGACCTCTGCCTAGAGTTTTCATTTCATTTCCTTTTTTCTTCCTTCTCCTTTTTTGTTTCTATTTTTAAGTTTTAAAGAAAATAAATTTGTTTTTGCTCAGAATTCTAGTACATACCAGTTGGAAGGGTTGCACTTGATGAAGTTCTTTTTGCCAGCAGAGTCTCAAGGTAACACAAGGCATCACATGGCAAGAGGTTTTGTGTGTGTGTGTGTGTGTGTCTTTCTTACTTGTGTCCTTGTCTGATTTTGGCTTAAGGAAATTTCAGTCTATAAGAGCTTGGAAGAGTCCCATCCTTTTCAATTTTAGGAAATAGTTTGGGAAGAATTGTTTTTGTTTGAAGTTGCTTCTCTCTTTAGGTGTTATTGGTTTATTCCGATTTTCCGTGTCATTATCATTCAGTTTCTTCATTTATTCTACTGTTTCAAACTTATTTCTTTAGTATTAATGTTATGTTTTATTTGATTTGCTTTGCCCAGGGTCTTGTGCTGTGGCCATGTGGGTAAATGGGTGGGAGGAAGGGAACTGGCAACATGGCCCAGCAGTTAAAAGCACTTGCCACCAAGTTCAAGGATGTGAGCTATATTCCCAGACCCACAGGGTGGAAGAACCGACTCCTGAAAGTGTCCTCTGACTTCAACATGAAGCTGCCCCGCCCCACACATATATTAAATAAATACATGAATACAATTTTGTTTTTGCTGCTCTTGCACAGGACCTCAGCCAGCACATCCCAGGCCCTGGCCCCCTCAGAAGGCAACAGGCATTTGAGGTACATAAATACATGCATGCGTTATTCATACGCACACAAAATAAAAACAAACCTTTGGGGAGAAAGTTTGTATGTCAACGCCTAAAACAAAGAACCAGGAGTGGAACAAGGTCCCCTACATCTGTGCTTCTCCTGAGCTCCACGCGGAGCTGAAGAACGTAGATGGCTCACCCAGCAAGCAGCTCAGAGCTAGGGGGCGGAGAATGCGCCCTGGTTGCCCTGGAAACCAGCTCCCGTCTAAGGACCGCCCCCTCCGCCCCACTCTCTCCGTAGCTCGCAGTCAAGTGGCAGCTCTCAGGGGAGAGGGCGGGACCAGACAGGTCACGTGTCGAGCTGGCGTTGCTGGGCTCTGCTGCCTGACGCAGGGACCCTGGTCTGCTGAGTGCCTGGCTATCCCAGCGAAGGCTTCCAGACTGGCGAGCGGGTCCCTATCCCTCTGTGCGGCCGCCATGGACCTGTCTTTAAGCCGAGCTGACTATATCCAGGTAAACCCGTTGGCGGGCGCCCTCCCGGTGGACGTTGGACCGCTGTCCGCAGGCCTGGGGAAGCAGCGGTCCCTCCAGGCCCGGCTCCTAGGGGTGTCCCAGATGCTCTCAGTGGCCTGGAATGTCCTGTCACTCCCCCCAGGGGCTGACCAAACCAGCCATATTCCAGGAAACCATCACAACCCTGTTGAACTTACCAGATCTTCACAAAAGCTTACCATTAGGTAGTACAAATGAAGAGTCGGGGACCCAGGAAGGTTAATAATTTGCCCCGTTGTTAAAAATAATGTAGTTGCTGTTTGAATCAGTGTGGGGCTCCAGAGCAGGTATCCCTTCGGGGCATGACTCTTTCCATCCCCAGAACCTTCAGTAAGAGTTCATCGTGGTACAAACATTTGCTTAGTTTCCCAGGAGGTTGGGCCAGATTCTTCACGTTAATACCTTACGGATGCTGATCACCACATCCAGTTATTATCAGTTGGATCTGTCCAGTTAGTCACCATCTTTATGATATCTTTAGCTTGGGTTGGATAGGGCCTACCAACCTCCGTGTGCAGCTTCCTCCAGCCATGGTTTGAAGCTCTTGAAAAAGTCGAACTAAAAAGAACTAAAACTTTAACACTTTGCCTAAAATGTCAGAATAAAATCATATCTGTAGTATATGCAGTTTCTCCATGACTGGTTGTATTTAAGTTCTGTCCTCCTCCTGGTGAGAGCTGCCTCTGCAGAACAAGCTGCTTTCATCCCGTTGGTTCCTTTTGTAAAATAGCCATTGTCAGTTACACTGGATGCTTTTAACATCGGAATGAACGTCATTTCAACAAAAAGCCCCCTCCTTTTCAGTCACTAATAACTGGGAACGGCTTCTGAAAATATCTTCTGAAACTCTCTACTAGTAATGTTATATAACTATTTTTTTACTTAATAGGATATATTTTGGGTCGTTTCCTGTCTTCTTTCTTTGGTGTGTTTCTCTGGCAATGTTACCTGTTGGCTGGTCTGTTTCCTTAGGTGGGAGTGACCTCTCAGAAGACTATGAAGTTGCTTCCTGCCTCAAGACAAAGAGTCACACAAAAGGTACGACCCTTGACCCTGACTTTGCCACCTTCTCCAGGCTCTGTAGGAGAGGCTCGTCCCGCCATCCTTATTGGTAACTTAGCATGTAAAAAGTGCTGACCTTAGCATGGAAATGAGCATCTTTGATTTGAGTAGAAGTTGGATTATGAACAAACGTTGTCAGATAGTCATGTTCTTGGCCACTGATATTACATGCAATTTAGTGAACTGTGTAAGAAAACTTGATAAAAATCATACATCTTGAGCTTCAGTTATAGTTCTTGGTGGAGACTTGCTTAGCCTGTTTGAGGCCCTGTTGTCTGTCCCGAATGCTGGAAAAACAAAACAAAACATTTCATTTTTTTTTGGTAATAATTCACTCTGTGTACCATATCGTGTGTGTGTGTGTGTGTAAAATACAATAGAATATTGATCATTTCTTTCAATCTTCCATTTTGTTGCTTTATTTTTATTTATTTGATTTTTTTAAAGATTTATTTATTTATTATATATACAACATTCTGCAGGCCAGAAGAGGGCACCAGATCTCATTACAGATGGCTGTGAGCCACCATGTGGTTGCTGGGAATTGAACTCAGGACCTCTGGAAGAGTAGCCAGTGCTCTTAACCTCTGAGCCATCTCTCCAGCCCCTATTTATTTGATTTTTGAGACATGTTTTCATGTAGCTGAGGCTGGCCTTGAACTCTTGATCTTCCTGCCTCATCATCAAAAGTTCAGGGATTATAGACATGTACAATCATTCCTGGCTTAAATTTTCTTTTATTGTTTGAGTTATGTTTTTAATGTTGAACTGTGTATTAACTTGGTTTCTTATAGACATAAACCAATTTTTTGTAGAATAGTAGGGTATTTTAATAGTTGCAAAGTAAATGTACTATCTTGGTATATTAACATTTATCAAGATGAATTTAGAGTTTTTACCCCACCCCCTTGGAAAATGTACTTAAATACATTATTTGATCTTTAACTATGCTTTTGAAGTGATTTGATAAGGGCAGTTTCTTCAAATAAGGTATTTAAATATTTGAGAGAAATCTGACATTTTAAACAGAACTTCAAGAGAATTAACTGATTTCTAATTCTTGTTTATTATATTCTAGATATAACAGCATGCCTCAAAAATTTTTACTCATTTAAATTGTTGAGAATCTAAAAATGATAACTGATATCACTTATTTATGTGATATCAGTACCTATGATATTAAATTTAAATCTAAGAAATATTTAAAAAATTAGAAAATCAAACTCAGTTGGGTGGTGGTGGCCCAGGCCTTTAATCTCAACACTTGGGAGGCAGAAGCAAGTGGATCTCTGTGAGTTCAAGACAAGTCTGGTCTACAGAGGAAGTTCCAGGACAGCTAGGACTGTTACACAGAAAAACCCTGTCTCCAAAAAAGAAAATCAAACTCCTCATGTTTACATGAAAACCATATTTTCATTAAAAGTGTATATATTATCAAAATAGAAGAATTTAGAGATAATCGTGATATTATGTTATATTTTTGCAAATGCTTAAATGTGTGTCAAGGGCAAAGGTCGATGGTTTCTATTGTCTTTTCAACATCCTCTGTTGGGATGTTTTTGCTTCGGTTGCAATACATAGAAAAACCTCATTAAATCAGTTTGCATGGATACATAGTTGAAAATAAAGTTTAAGTAGCCTTTTGAGGTAACTATCACTTTTGATGCTCTCTTTAAATCTGAGGAGGTTTCCTGGGTGTTCCCGCAGTGTGTCATCTGAAGGCACTGGCGAACTCTCCACCATGACAGTGTTTACCCAGAATCCCTCTCTTTCAGGCGGTTGTTGGAGATCAAGATGGGGTCGTGCTGTGCTTCGGCCTGAAGAAAGGAGAGGCCGTGGTGAGTGCAGCTGCTTAAGACAGCAGTTCTCCGAAAGATAGACGCACTCCTTGCTGAGTACTCCTAGGTTAACATTTTCCGAAAATTTAGACATGGAAAGTAAACTGTAAGATTGTATAACTCTAAAAATCGTAGCTTTTATAGTCAAGGAGAATTTTTACAGTAAGACAACTTGTACACAACCTTTTCCTACTTGATTTTTGCAGCCAGTGTTCAAGACTTTACCGGGGCAGAAGATTTCGAGGCTGGAATTAGGAGGGGTTCTCAACACGCCCCAGGAGAAAATTTTCCTGGCTGCAGGCTCTGAGATTAGAGGCTTCACAAAGAGAGGAAAACAGTTTCTCACCTTTGAAACAAACCTCACTGAAAGCATTAAAGCCATGTATGTTCTATTCTCTTCCAAGTTTACATATGTTGTACCTATAACACATTGGGTTGGTGTCAAACATCTGATTAAATTAGTATATACTAATGGTTTCCTGGAAAATCAAACTGGCTACAGGTAGTTCATTAGTCAGAACCTACACTCAGTGCAAAGCTGATTGGCTGTTGTAATGTTTTCAGTGTTTTTAACTTCGCAGTCTGTGTGTGTGTGCGTGTGCGTGTGCGTGTGTGTGTGTGTGTGTGTGTGTGTGTGCGCGCGCGCATGCGTGTGGACGCTCACATTCACTTTTCGTTTGTGGGTCATTTCTTAAAATGTAGCTTATGTTTTTAATGGATGCATAGTAATAATGTTCATTTATAAGTCACAGTGATATTTGATACACGTTCCTGATGGGTGGTGTCAGATCAGGGCACTTAGAGCATGTGTCACCTCTGACATAACGTATTGTTGGGAACGTTTGAAATCCTTTCTCCTACTTATTTTGAAGCGTAACATTGTTGAATACATTCAGTTCTGGCAGCCTGGTTGGTTCAGTCATGATCGCGATAGAGGTATATGTAAGAAGTCAGGACCTAAAACCTCCCCAGAGACACGGGCTCCCGTTCCTCAGGTGTCCTTGGTCGTTCTTGTTTGGAGGTACCGATAGTACATTCACAGGCTGAGCAGTGCTTGAGTGTGGTGCCTCCTGTCTGTAATCCCCGCACTTGAGAGACGGAGGCAGAAGGGTTGTCGTGAATTTGAGGTCAGTCTGCGCTGTATAACAACTATAATGGGTTCCAGATCAGTATGGGCTACAGAGTGAGACCTGGTCGTAAAAACCAACAGACCAAACAGAACAAAAGCCTGGCGGTTACAGTTGGTGACCACTAATGGGTGTGATTTCTAGTAAATTGGGTAAAACTCAGTAAAAAATAAGTCACTTCCTGGCTCACTATTAAAATTTTAGATTTTTTTCTATTGAGAGGTGGGAAGGAGGGAGAAAGTGTATGAATGAGGTGGGGGAGCATACATGTGCTATGATCTATATGAATGAGTTCTGTGTGTGTGTGTGTGTGTGTGTGTGTGTGTGTGTGTCTGTGTGCGCTATGGTCTATATGAACGAGGTGTGTGTGGGCATGCATGTGCTATGGTCTATATGAATGAGGTGTGTGTGTGTGTGTGTGTGCGTGCGCGCTATGGTCTATATGAATGAGGTATGTGTGGGCATGCATGTGCTATGGTCTATATGAATGAGGTGTGTGTGTGTGTGTGCGCGCGCGCATGTGCTATGGTTTATATGAATGAGCTGTGTGTGGGTGTGTGTGTATGCATGTGCTATGGTCTGTGGGTAGAGGTCAGAGGTCAATGTTGTAGAGTCAGTCTCCTATGTGAGACTAAGGAGAGGTCTGAAGAGAGAATTCAGATCATCAGGGTTGCGTGGCAAGCTCCTTACCCTCTGAGCCATTGTCAGCATTGAGATTTTAATTTTTTTGAGCCATGGGAGTGCCCCCCCTCCATTTTTTGAGACAGGGTTTGTCTATGTAGCCCTGGCTGTTCTAGAATTCACTCTGTAGACCAGGCTGGCCTCAAACACAGAGTTTCTGCTTCCCAAGGGCTAGGAGTAAAGGTGTACACCACCACCATCCGACTAACCCTGCTAACCCATGACTTCTTGGGAAGCCTAACAGTAGATACCTCCCATTTGGTCATCAGGGTAACTAGGGGTGGCTTTTACATTTCTTCCTTTGCCGTGACACGGCTGAGTTAAACCTGTAGCCAGAGGACCAGTCTGGAAACTGCTGGTTCATGCCGTCTCTTTATAGTAGACAGATACCATGTGTCATTCCTTGCAATGCACAGCATTTCTTTGGACTCGGAAGGACTTTTAAAACTCGGTTTGGTGAAATGAGACAAGAATTCAACAGCAACAAGTGAAAATAATTTCAAGTAGTTTAACAAAAATATAATTTGCTTGAAATGCCCTTGTAGATGAAGAATTTGAAACTCGCTGTAATTATTAGCTAAACTTTGTTTGAAAATATGAATGAACTTATTTTCAAGAGAACGTTCTAATCCTCATTCATGATGTAAAGTCAGTTCCCTTCAGGTGTTCTTTTCTAGGCACGTTAGTGTGAGGTTAACTCTGGAGCTGAAATTTCCCAAGCTCTAGTCTGTCGCTGTCATTTACGGGCTGAGCCATTAGTCCTGCTAACATTTTGCTGTTCACTTATAAAAGAGATAATAACATTCTATATAGGGCTCATGAGTGCTACTGTGCTAATTTGGGTGTATCAGTTAGGGCAGCACTTGGCACATGGTACACAGTTAAAAAGTTTCTCTTTTAATACTGGTTTTGGTTTTTCAAGATCAGGTGTCTCTATAGCTGTGGAGCCTGTCCTGGAACTCGCTCTGTAGACCAGGCTGGCTTTAAAGTCACAGAGATCCACCTGCCTCTGCAACCCGAGTGCTGGGGTTAAAGGCGTGTGCCACCACCACCCGTCTTGATCCTGTTTTTTAAAATAGACAAATTCACATACCTGTTTTTCCTTTTTTCTCAGCTTTTCGACAAGAAGCCCAACTTACAATCCTCATTTTCAGCTTTCAGAATCAGAAGTGTTACATCAAATGACTAGAAATGAAAGCTGCATGGTTTGCACCTAACCCAACTTAGGAGGTAGAGGCAGGGTGTCATGATTCCACGGCCATCCTCGGCGATTAGAGTGAGATCAGGGCAGCTTAGGAGATCCCATCTTTAAAGGGGGTGGGGATAGAAGTTAAGTGGGGGGAAATGAAAAAAAAAACTTCTATGTAATGTAAGTAAACTCTTTTCACCTCTGAAAGAAAATCAGCTCCCTGTGCTCTTTAAGTATAAACATCCTAAATTACTATTTGAACATCCTCAGGTACATATCCGGCTCTGACCTCTTTCTCAGTGCGAGCTACATCTATAATCATTACTGTGATTGCAAAGACCAACATTATTACCTCTCTGGGGACAAAATCAATGACGTCATCTGCCTTCCCGTGGAAAGGTTATCCCGCACGACTCCAGTGTTGGCCTGCCAGGACAGGGTGCTCCGAGTTTTACAGGTGATGTCCTTTGGAGTTTTGCATCTTTTCTTTATCCAGCAAATCATTATGGATTCCTCAGGATTAAGGCTTCTTTAACAATTCCTGCTTTAAGTATCCTATGTTAAGTTGACTGTGAGAAAATATTTTTCATTTTGGTAATTTCTTTCTTACTTCAGGCAAATGTGTTGGGATCTTTGGAAAAATTTTAGAAAATAGATAGGGCGGAAAGAGGCTATTTCTGCTTCCCTGTCCCCAGTCCTGAATGCAGGTCCCCAGAATATAGCATTTCGATACAGACAACTGTAGTCAGCCCTTTCCCCACTCTGTGTCTTCACTACTTTCCAAGTCCTCAAGAGTCGAAGGAGAAGGGTAGAAGAGAAGGTGACAGATAATTTGAATTTATCAATCATTTAATCACAGTATGCAGAATAAAGTAGTCAGTAAATAATTCATTGCATAAATAAATGGTAGAGTGTGTTGCCTAACGTGCATGAGCCCTCGGACTTGAAACCTAGCGCTACATAAATCTGATGTTGTGGTGCGAGCTCCAGATTGCCAAAATTCCAGCACTCAGGAGGTAGAGGTGGGAGAATCAGAAATTCAAGGTCATCCTTAGGGTTTCTTTGTAGTTTTGGAGCCTATCCTGGAACTTGCTCTTGTAGACCAGGCTGGCCTTGAACTCACAGAGATCCACCTGCCTCTGCCTCCTAAGTGCTGGGATTATCCTTAGCTTTGTAAGAAGTTTGAGACCAGTCCAGGATGGATGAGATCCTGTTTCAAAAAAGACAAACTAGGAATGATCTATCATTCAGCTAGAGATTACCTAACTGATTTCTAGAGTTCTGTTTGGTTTCACAAGAGGCTATCTATATTCTTTCTTATTTATTATTTTTTTTCTCAACATGGCAGTATCATATAGTCTCTGTATAGACCAGAACTTGCTATGGAGACTAGGACACCCTCAAACTCACAGAGATCCACGTCTCTGCTTCCCAAGTGCTGGGATCAAAGATGTGCGCTTCCATGCCTGCCTATATTCTTATTGTTAAAGATAAATCAGCAAGGATCTGTGAGAGGAGGAAACTGAATGTTTTCCTTCTGCCTTGTTCGTTTCTCCTTTCCTGCCTTTGAGAATACTCCGTCCTCTGAGCTTGCCTCTTCTACAGCTTGTAGGTGTCTGTAAACCTTAAAATGATAAGTCAAGGATAAGCATATGGCCCTTTTCCATGTTGTAAGTTAAACTCTTGTAAGTGGTGTAGTCATTGAATTATGGAAGTGGCAAAGCTGGAAGGAGAGAAGAGGACAGCAGCCTCTCATGGAGTGAGTCGGGGGACTCCCCAAAGGCCAGGGTTTCCCAGAGGAAATAACTTCAGATGTGCTCAGAGGTGTGAAGTTATTCTGTCTCAAATCCACCACTTGACACAGGAGAAGACAGAATAACTGACACCTGTCCCTGGAGAGTTTAGAAAGGTCTTTACAGGGTATGGTTTTCAGACAGACAATGTATTAAAACTGAGAACTATTGGCTTCTGTGTCTAGAAGTTCATTGTTTGGTCTTTGGATCTGGTTAATCATGGATTTTTTTTTCTAATAAAGGTCAAAATTTTAAAAAGTATTGAAAGTAGAGAATATATATTTTTCTCCTTGTACATATATATATTTCATTTTCAGTGTGTTAATATATGCCAAATTATTGACAAAAACATTTATATTTATAGCCTACTTTCTTAAAGTACTTTTATTTTAAATGTTTTATGAGTTAATAGATTTAGATATTGATGTTTCCCATGATTTCCTATATTCTTTTGAGTTTTTTTTTCAATTTCAGCTTTTATAATTTTATAATTGTTTTCCTTCAGGGATCCAATGTGATGTACGAAATTGAAGTTCCTGGTCCACCCACGGTCTTAGCCCTACACAATGGAGATGGCGGTAACCCAACTTCAGTATTCACACAGTACTCACAGCCACTCATGAGTGTAAAGATTTAAGTGAAGACAGAAAGCTGTGTGCAGAATGTAGCAGAGTCAAGTGTGTTTCTTCTGCTTGCCTACCTGCTCAGTAATGAATTATTGAACTTCCTCATCTTGAAATGGAGTGAAGGAATTAAATGTATGCCCTGACAATGCTGGAGCAGGCATGGGCAGCCCATATATGGCAATTCTGTCCATATTGCGTTTCATGGTCTAAGCTGATGAGGACAGCTGACCAGGTCTCTTCCTCAAGAGGGCACCAGATCTCATTACAGATGGTTGTGAACCACCAAGTGGTTGCTGGGAATTGAACTCAGATGTAGGTAATGTGCTTCACCTGTGGTGACATGGTGACTATTTTATTCTCGTTTCTATGAGTCATAACAACACAGTAGAGGGGATATTTATGTCTTGTTTTCATTGATGAGATTGTTTTAAGGTCATGAGAGCTTAGCCATGAACGTCATATAGTTAGGGTTCCATAGGAACTACCTGGAAGCAGAGGAATAGTGATAGTCTTGCTTCTGGATACCTCACGACCGCTTTATTAGAAAAGAAGAAAAGGCAGGTAAAGGAATCTTAGTTCAGAAATTTTAAATGTAATCAAAAGGTATAGAGCCAACATAGACAAGTATTTTGACATACATGAAATTTTGTTCTATTTGTTTTTTATTAGTTTATTTTTCTGACGTGTAAAAACAAAGCTGCATACGAATGGTGGTATTGTATGATATTTTAATACATATGTGCCAGATATTTTTCCCTTTAAAAAAATTTCCCCAAATGAAATTTTTGAACTTTATGTAATATTTGAATTAAAATCTGTTTAAGCTATAGTGTTCAGATGTTCGCTTTGATTTGACTAGGTGACTCCGGAGAAGACCTTGTGTTTGGCACATCGGACGGAAGGCTTGGGCTTGTTCAAATCACTCCATCCAAGCCAATACACAAGTGGGAACTTCGAAATAACAAAAAGCGCGGAGGTACATTTTCAATATCGTTCAGATTATGAAATTTTAACAATTATTTAATAAAGCTGAGCATGTGATTTATTCTGATTGATTTGGTTATATTATATAGCAGGCTAATGATTCACAGAGACGCCTCTGACTTACCAACTATTGTTTATGGCATCTATTGAACTACAGATGTAATTGTTAAAATAAGCAATGCTGTTTGTGGTTTGGGATAGACATATAGGTTAATCTCCATTATTTCACGGGAATAGGATTTAGCTGGAATCTGAGGCATTTGGTGGGATTTAAAGAATATAATGGGTCAGAAACTGTTTTTATTTTCTAAAGAGTTTGTAAATTTCCAAGCTCTTTAGAATTTGTACCCAACGTGGTAGGTAGTGAGATGGCTATTTATACGTACAGGATGTTTGTACCTTAGCAAATAGTTGCTAGGGGAAACAGAACAAATGACTGACTGTGTGTGGTCTCTTCACCTGGTTGTCGACAGAGAATGCAGTGATTTAGTGTATGGTAGAGCCATGATGCACGCAGCTCCTCTCAGACTCAGTGTTTGTGAATGTGCTTTAGAAAACACAAGTTTGAGCTGAGATTTGGGGGAAGGAATATTCTAAGAGGAGGAAAAAGTAATTGCAAAGCTCTTGAGACAAGAGGTGAACTTGATTCACTGGGGGACAACAGAAAGGCCAGTGTGGCTGAACACAGTAATGTGGCCTGAGGAGATGTTAAAGTAGGACCAGACTGGTCCTTGAAGCCTCTGAGGAGTGGATTTTAATTAGCCTGCAGTGGGAAGTCCTGGGAGAGGCAGTGTGCGCGTGGAGGCGGAGGGTTTGGTACAGAGGGTGAGAAGAACGACAGCAGAGATTTAGCCCAGAATTCTTTAGTCTCTGCACCAGAAGCATAATTTACTGAAATTGGAGGGAGCCTGGAGAGAGAGCAGTTGTGATGCAGCGCAGTGAAGACTGTTAAAGAACTTTGCTTGGGACACGAGAAGTCTGAGATGCCATGAGTACAGGAAGGTGCCCAATTGATCCCAAGAGCCTGGGGCTTCCTGAGAAACCAGAGCAAAAGAGAGTTGGAAATGTAGGTTCGTTGCTGTGTGAATTGTGAGATAGATGAATGTAGACAGGAAGGAGAAAACAAACTCTCAATTATGTATAAAGTTGTTCTTTTTCTTTACCCACTTCTGGGTTACTACATAAAATTTTCTTTTTCTTTTCTTTTCTTTTTTTTTTTGTTTTTTGTTTTGTTTTGTTTTGTTTTTGTTTTTCGAGACAGGGTTTCTCTGTAACTTTGGAGGCTGTCCTGGAACTAGGTCTGTAGACCAGACTGGCCTCGAACTCACAGAGATCCACCTGCCTCTGCCTCCTGAGTGCTGGGATTAAAGGTGTGTGCCACCACCACCCAGTTTAACTATATAAAATTTTCATAGCTATGTGTTATGAAAATATATGAATACACGTACATATCCTCCTGCCTCTGTTTGTTTTCTAACCCATCACTTTCATTACTTACTCCTCCCCCTTTCTTCTAGGTATCTTGTGCGTTGACAGCTTTGACATCATGGGTGATGGGGTTAAAGACCTACTCGTTGGGAGAGATGACGGGATGGTGGAAGTGTACAGTTTTGAGAATGCAAATGAACCTGTGCTACGATTTGATCAAGTAAGTTAGTTTAGAAAGATTTGTGTGGGGGCTGGGGCTGTAAGTCAGCGCCGGGGGTCCTTGCCAATTGTGTATAAAGTCCCACTTCTATCCCTAATACTGTAAACCCAAAGCAAGACAAATGACTATGTACTTACCATTTGTCCATTGGTGTAGAGATTGTTGATAGTTTGAATTTTAGTAAATTCAAGCATAGTAAAGTATTCCTTTTTAAAACAAAATGTTGTTCTACCCTGACCTGGTAGTGAGGTCTCTAAATCCCAGCAGCCCTGACTGAGGCAAGAGGATTACAAATTCAAGGGCTGCCTTGAAGAGTAAGAAACTAGTGAGACTCTGTTCCAAAACAGAAACTAGGAAGGACCAGGATATTGCTCAGTGGTAACCTAGTGTGCATCAGGCCCGAGGTTCAACCCACGGGACAAACAGATAAATACTTGTAAAAATATTGCCATTATCAAAATCTCTGTTGTTGTGTTTGAACAGCAGAGCACTGCCTTTAAGCTGAATAATAAATTCCTTTTCAGTATCGCTCTTGAATATCACTTTTAATTTCTTAGGTATTAAATGGTGTATTCTAGTTTCTGTGAATCATAATAACACAGTAGAGGGGGAAACACTTAAAATGTTTGGTTTTCACTGATGAGACTGTTTTAAGGTAATAAGAGCTTAGACACGGATGTCATAGACTTAGGTTTCCATAGGAACTATCTTGAAACAGAAGAGTAATAATAGTCTCACTTCTGGACACCCAAGGAACAGCTTTCTGAGAAAAAAGGAAATATCAGGTAAAGGAATTTTAGTTCAGAAATTTTAAATGTAATTAAAAGGTATAGCACCGATATAGAGAAGCATTCTGGCATACATAGAATCTTTTTTCTACTTTTATTTATTTTCATAATTTTTTGATGTATAAAAACAAAAATTATATGTGAATGGTGGTATCATATGATGTTTTGACTCAAAACCAAATATATTTCCCTTAAATTTTAAAAATTGTACTTATTTATACGTTTGTGTATTTAGTGTTTGTGAAGAGGTGTTTGTGTGTGTGTGGTGTGTAAGTGGTGTGTACGTTCATACCACTGCATACGCATGAGGTCAGAGGGCAGCTTTTGGGAACTGGTTCTCTCTTTCCACCATGCGGGTCCCAGGGATCAAACTCAGGTTGTCAGGCTTGTTAACAAGATCTTTACCCACTGAGCACCCTTGCTAGTTCCTGAGTATAATGTTTAAATGGTGTTAAAAATATTTCTTTTGTGAAAATACTTAAAATGGTTTCTTGTAGCTTTTTGAAATATATGGTACATAATTGCTATCTACAGTTGGCCTACACAATGGCTAATATTCTTTTCCTTATGTGTTGATTCTCTATCAGAACTTCAACAAATAAGTCAAAATACAAAATCAAGTATCAGAACTTTGTGCATATATAGCTATTGATACTCATTAACCAACTTTTCCTTAGTCTCCCTTCCCTGCTCTTGGCAGCCACTATGCCCACCATTCTGTCCTTAACTCCCGTGAGGTCCACACTTGACGTTCTACATATGAGTGAGAGCTTATGGTGCTTGTCTTTCTATGCCTGGCTTATTTCACGTCTCATGATTTCCAATCATATCTGTGTTGTTGTAAAATACAGAATTCCATTCTTCTGTACTGAACCATCTTCTGTTTTTAGTGATGCTAGTTCTACAGTGTTTGCTGACGGGAATCCATGAGGGCAGGCTGCCTTGGCTTTAGTTTGGCCTCTGGTTCTGAGGTGGAAGAAGTTCAGCTTCATCTGGGTATGGTGCTCTTGCTGGCAGATTCCTAGGATAGCACAGAGTGCCACAGATACCAGGGAAATTGATGGTGTTTATGTTTTCTCTCTTTCTCTTACAAGGCCCCAGGACCCAATTCTGAGGCTCCACCTAAAGACTTTATCAAATCTTTTTCCAAAGGCCCTCCCAAGCCCTTAGTTGGATTAATCCATTAACACATTATTTGGAAATAACGGTCCTGTGGGTATCTATTGTTTCGGTTGAACATTCAAATCCTCGCTGGCTGATTCCCTCCAGGGCTTCATCGTCATGCCTCATAGAGGCTATACTGAGGCTTTCAAATAATAGTGTCTACAAAGTGTGTTACAGAGGAGCAGTGTGGAAATTCAAACATTACACAGTTGACTATTTTACAGATTTAGCTCAGACTGGTTCATCCTGATGTAAAAAGTCATCTTGCCAAGTAAGATGCAAGAAATAATTCAGAGCTGGGTGCTGGTGGCACATGCCTTTCAATCCCAGCAGAGGCAGGTGATCTCTAAGACTGGTCTGTGAGTTCCAGGAGAGCCACGGCTACACAGAGAAACGCTGTCTCGAAAAAGCAAAACAATCAAATAGAAGTCAAAGAAATAGTTCAGGCTTCTAAGTATATAACAGCATTGGTTGATGATGTGCTTTTTCGTGTCAGTCTTTGAGAAGCTTTTCCCGCTAGACCTCAGGTCTTCTCTACCTTCTGTCCTATACCTCAGTGAGCAGCTTGCTTGCTTGCTTGTGTCTGCCAGTGGCACCTGCTACCTCCCTGCTGTTTCTTCTGTTTTCCTAATGACAGAGGGGCTGATCTAGGCGCCTGTATCAATAAAAATGAAAAACAAAAACAAAAACAAGACTACAGTTTATAATAGGTAGTTTCAGTTTGCAACCAATGGATAATTTGGGATTAAATAAAGGTTTTTAATTTAATTTATCTTTATTTTACGTGCATTGGTGTTTTCCCTACATGTTTGTCTGTGTGAGGATGTCCAATGCCCTGGAACTGGAGTAACAGAAGATTGTGAGCTGCCATGTGGGTGCTGGGAATTGAACCCAGGTCCTCTAGAAGAGCAGTCAGTGCTCTTAACCAGTAAGCCATCTCTATAGCCCCAAGGAAATAAAGTATTTTTAAATGGTGTGTGTGTGTGTGTGTCTGTGTGTTTGTATGTGCCTGTGTGTGTGTGTGTGTGCTCGTGCCCTGTGAGTCCGGGGTGAAGGCCAGAGTCTTGGATCCCCTGTAACAGTAGTTACAGGCAGTTGTGAGCTACCTGGTCAAACTTGGATCCTTCGCAAGAGCAGCACACACTGTTACTCACTGAACATCTCCAGTCCCTTTTGCATTAGTCTTGATAGAAAATCGCAGTGCTGGGATTAAAGGCCTGAGCCACCACCACCCGGCCTGTATTTTTTTTTTTAAAGCAGTTCTTTGAGAGTTTTGCACTGCGTGTTTTGATCATATTCTCCCCCTCCAGCTCCTCCCAGATCCACCCCTTTCTCTTTCCTCCTGACTTCCTGTCCTTTTATTGTTGTTTTAAATCCCTCAAGACCATGCAAGGGAGCCTGGTTGAATAGCAAAAGACTACATTCACAGGAAAAACAGTCTCTCCCTCTCCCAGCAGCTAGCAGCTGCCCATGGCTCCATGGCTGGGGGTGGGGTTGTGTGCCCAGTTCCCCTCTCCGCGCTGAGATCTGGGCTGGCTTGGGCACACACGTGTTTTGTGCAGACTGTCACATCCACTACGAGTTCTTATCTGCAGCTGCCCTGCTATGTCCAGGAGATGCTTCCTTTCAGTCATCCACTGCTTCTGGCTTCTGCTCATTTGACCACTTCTGACATGTCCTCTGAGCCTTTAGAGAACTCCAGTCTCTTGTCCTCTTCACCTGGGCCAGCCATGAGTCTCTGGGTTAATCACTGCCTGCTACAAATAGAAGCTTCTCGGATGAGAGGAAGATGCCTAGACAAGTCAGTAGGGGTCAGTTTGATGCTGTGTCCCACTTAGCAGCAGGTAAGACAGCAGGAGGTTCTCCCCCAGGATCTGTCTAACAGATCCTGTTAACCACAGATGCCTGTCTAACCACAGAGTCTTGGCCAGTAACGGTGCCAGATATGGGTTGTAGGAAAGGTAATTTCACCGTAAGTTTTTGGTTGTAGATAAATGTAAATAATTCCATACTGGACTGAAAGATCGCTCAGTTGTTAAGAGCATGCCCTGCTCTCAAAGAGGACCCAAGTTTTATTCCCACCATCCATGTTGTTGGCTCACTTCAGCACGTGACCCTACTCCAAGATGTTCTGAGGCCTCAGGCTTTCCTAGGTACTTGTACTCACACGCACATACCGCCCCACACACATACAAATAAATAAATATATGTTAAAGGAATTCCGTCTAATTTTATTATATTAAAATGCGTATAAGTATATATACTAAAATGAAAAGTATGTGGGGAAAGTGGAATAAAAATAAAAGTTGACATACATCATGCACACACAAAAGAATTTTTTTTGAGTTTTACAAGAGGAAGGGCCAGAGCAATGGTTCAGTGGGTCAAGGTGCTTGCCACACAAGCCTGGCAAACTGATTTCAGTCCCCACAGTCACGGGAGGTGGGAATGAAAGAAGGGTTTCTTCTGACCTCCACACGCAGGCTGTAGCGCGCATGCGCACATATTACATATACATATATGTGTATATACAAGTATAATGAATAGTAAAGCTTTAAAACAAAAATAAAAGTTAAGGGAAAAAAGTAACAATGTAATGTTTCTGGTTCAGTCAGTTATTTTAACTGATGTCTCTTACTTTCAGGGACCATGAATGTGTATGTAAAATTTTCCTGGTATTTAGATTCACTGGGTATGATTTTTAAATGCCATGGTTTTATTTCAAAATATTATAACGCCTTAAGGTTATAATAAAAATTATAGAAGTTAACTTAAAAACACACACAAAAACATAGTTTTTTTTCATTAAAGAAAAAAAAAGTTGAAGAAATTCATAGACTAAATTTACTAGCTGTTTTGTTTACATAATTTATCAAACCTTCTAGGAATAGTTTTGTTTTCTAGATGATTATACTGAGTGTTATACAGATATGCTGGTTATTTTGAATCTTCTCTCCTGTATTTGAAGATGCTGGACTTGTCTAGCATTCGTTGGGATCTGTCTCAGTCTCAGCGTCTGCCTGGGATGGATGTACACGAAATATGTGTTGAGCATCTGGAGACAGGAAGAGAGGCTTTGCAGCTTATTTTAACATGTCCTTGAAATGTGTACATATTAATGAAGTGGTTGGTCTTGCATTTATTTCAGATGTTGTCTGAAAGCATTACCTCGATCCAGGGTGGCTGTGTAGGGAAGGATGGTTATGACGAAATCGTGCTGGCCACATATTCAGGTAAGGTAATGATAATGGGCAGTTGAAGAACAATGAAAAAAATCTGCACTTAATAAAGTTATTTTTTGACTAATTTTTTTTACTTGTGTGTGTGCGTGTGTGTGTGTGTGTGAGAGAGAGAGAGAGAGAGAGAGAGAGAGAGAGAGAGAGAGAATGTGGTGTATGATGTGTGTACTTGCCAAGCCTGACGACTGAGTTCCGTCCCCAGATCCCATGCAGGGGAGAGAACCAACTCCGCTAATTGCGTGACTCCTTTTATTCTGTGCCCTGTCATATTTACCCCTCACTCCCTCCACCTGTACAAATAAATGTAATATTAAAGAAAAATAAGGAAAATGACTGGGGACACAGCTCAGTGATTTTATGGCCTCAAATATATAAGGCCCTGTATTGGATCTAACATTGGATAATATTTTGAAGACAGCTTTGCCTTTCTCTAGTAAATTAAATTATATTCCTTGATTTAAATAGAAGTATTTGCTAAAATGAGACTATATTTTGGCCTAGTGCATTTCTTATAAAGAGCATGGTTTTAAAGAGATGGATTTTATCTTATCATAGTCTTTGAGTGCAGACTCTCATGACAATAATTAGTAACAGCCAATTCTGGGTTTTCAGCTACTTTGGAATTTGCTAGAATGTACTGACTTACACCATACTTGAAAACTGAGGTTTTTAATAATTGAAAGATTATAGCACTTCAAGGAAAAGTGGTGTCATGAAATGTTTAAATACTTTCTTTATGATGTGAATTCTTTTAGTTTGAATTTTTGTTGTTGTTGTTCTGTTTTCTAAGAAACTGTGGGGCTAGTTAGGTTGATGGTGGTGGGAAAGGGGAGTGTAATTAGGGTTTGTGTGTGTGTGTGTGTGTGTGTGTGTGTTACCAGCTTTTGCATGCAACACTAAGCGTGATTGTAACTCATCTTTACAGGCTGGATCACAGGGCTGACAACAGAGCCCACTCATAAGGAAAGTGGGCCAGGAGAAGAACTAAAACTTAATCAGGAAATGCAGAATAAAATTGCTTCCTTACGGTAACATTTTTGCTGTTTCCATTCCATCAGAGTTTGCACTTCTCCCTTCCTGTCACCCAAAGGCTCACTTGCTTTCCTTTATTGGTGAGAATGATACATCTCATAGACGTTTATAGGCCTGAGAAAATTAGCAGTAAGTGTTGATTAATATTTTGAGTTTGAAATATACCTTCCCTATGCATTATTCTTTTTGTTTTTGTTTTGTGGAGCAAGGTCTCTCACTGCTGTTTTCTAACTCGGTCTGTAGCTGGAGATGGCCTTGAACTCTGACCTCTGTTTCTGCCTCCACAGTGCTGTCCAGGAGGACTGTACCACGCCCATCTGGTGCATTAGTCTCTCTTGACCTTACTGATCCAGAATTGCAATTTTTTTCATTTGCTTAGCTGTAGGTAGTTAAAATGTTTTGCTTCTGTTTTCCAAAGCATTAAAAATAGATGAACAGAAGTGACTAGATTTTCACTAACTCTGATGTTGACTGTTGCGGTGAACTCTTCTGCTCTGTAAAATTCTCTTGCTGGACCTGAGTAATGCTGACTCCCATCAGTGCTGTCATTGCTTCATGCTTGCTCAATTTGGTATGTCCTGTGGGGATGTGGCCTCATGCCCACATACAATAAGGAAATGGAAGTTGATAAAACTTTATTGATTGTGCACCCCTTGTAGCCCTTGCGATCTTCTTAGGGACGTGGGAGCTCATCTTTTTTAGGGGTAGTTGAAGACCACAGATGCCACAAGTTCTAGTTGCATGGTCTTGTTTATAAAGAGCACTAGGAAAGCATTATACAAGCTGATATGCCAGGTTTATTCAGGGTGTCCTAGCTTCTGCAATAAGGAAATAGTAAGATGGCTCAGTAGATAAAACACTTGCCAGCAAACCATGAAGACCAGAGTTCAGATCCCCAGTGCCCATATAAAGAGTTGGGTAGGAGTGGTGGCCTGCCTATAATCCCAGCTCTCGGGACAGAGATGCCCTTGGGACTTGCTAGCTAATGAACTACCTATCTAGGTTAACTGCAATTTACAAATCTAGGTTCAGTGAGAAACCCTGCCTCAATAAGTAATATAAAGAGTGACCAAGGAAGCCCCTACATCAACTTCTGGCCTCCATACACATATGCACGCATATGTATATGCACCCATAACCAATGCATCCACATGCATTTGAATATGTGTACACACATGTATACCACACAGATACTTCTTAAAAAAAATACCAAGTGCTGCCAGGCAGTGGTGGGGCGCACACCTTTAATCCCAGCACTTGGGAGGCAGAGGCAGGCAGATCTCTGTGAGTTTGAGGCCAGCCTGATCTACAAGAGCTAGTTCCAGGACAGGCTCCAAAGCTACAGAGAAACCCTGTCTCGGAAAAAAAAAAATTCCAAGAAGAGTTAGTGATTGACTTCTATGTTAGATACTCAGTATAATACCTAGAGGAGAGTGTTAGATTCCTTGGAACTAGAGTTTACAGTTGTGAGCTGCCATTGTGAGTGCTGGGAATTGAACTTGAGTCCACTGAAAGAGCAGCCAGTGATCTGAACTGAACTGAGCCAAATACCTCCAGCCCAAATACCTTTCTTTCCTAACCAAATCTTCAGATATGAAGCTGTGTTAAATACTTCTATTCTTTTGTTCATTCAGCATGTGGAACACTGGGGTAAATATGTAATATTGATTAGTAAATATTTGTTGGATAAGTTAATATTTTCCTTGATTTATACATCCCATTAAATCTCCTTCTCAGACCTTTCGCCTCTATTTGGACTAGCTAACCTTCACATTGCCCCAATACTGTTACTTCATCTGCATGTAACTCTTCCCCTTAACCAAAACTACCTCTTGACTACGCTCGCAGAGAATCTGCTCCAACATTTGCTAGCACTCCAGTGGTGTCACTGGTTCATAATCATCCTGTTGCTTCCAAAATGTTACTATTCTGCAACTTCCCCTCTCTTTTGTGTCTACACTACTGACTTACAGAGATGCTTATGCTGACTGGAGCATACGCTAGTCTTCGATGAGGTCTACTGTGTAGTCTACCGTGGTAGCTGCTCTTCTGAGCAGTGCCCTATGCCGTGCCACCGTGTTCATGTGCTGGAGGTGGTAATTCGTAGTTATAATACAGCTACACTAGTAATAACTGCTATTGGACTGAGTAGATGTTTTAGCTTGGGGATCAGTGATAAATGATGTGGAATCCTTTGGTCAGTCATAGAAGCAAACATGATCCTATTGCTGTGAAACGGTTGCTTTAGATGAGCTAAGCATGGCTTCTCAAATGGAAATATCTTACCTGTTTGTGCACACCGTAGGGATCTCCGGTGTCTGTGGGTAATAAGAGTGTGTGTTTTCCTGCAGGAGTGAGTTAGAACACCTGCAGTTTAAGGTACTGCAGGAAAGAGAAAACCACCAACAGTCTTCTCAGTCAAGCAAAGCAAAGTCAACGGTTCCTTCATTTAGTATAAATGACAAGTTTACATTGAATAAAGATGATGCCAGCTACAGCCTTGTCTTAGAGGTGCAGACTGCAATAGATAATGTCCTAATACAGGTAAGCAGAAGGCCTAGCTTCTTAGTTTTAGGCCAAATCTTGGTTTTTGTTTGTTTGTTTTTGCTTTTTTTTTTTTGCAAACAAGTCATGTGAAGTTGTTAATAAGCATTTTTAATTCTAGACAGTAATTTTAAATGTTTATAGATTATTGATCTTCTGTTAGGTAGTCGATTTACTTATACATTATTTGAGTTTTATCTTTACCTTTTATTTATTATATACTCAATAACCAAAAGATGTGTGAACTTCAATTTCCAGAAAAAAAAAATAGACAAGACACCAGGATTTCCTTCCTTGGCCTCCCTCTGAGAGAATCTCAACCATAATGTGACTTAGAAAACTCTAGTATGTGTTAGGTGCCAGGATTCGGCCTGCAATTGCAGCACTCTCAAGGCTGAGGCAGGAGGACTGCTACAAGTTATAGGTCAACCTGAACTGTAGAATGAGACCTTGTCTCAAAAAAGCAGGGAAGGCTCCAATATTTAATCCTTTGTAAAAAGTGCTTTCTGATTCTCCAGATACTAAGGTGGTGACTTCCTTATTAACCCAGCAGATTCTAGGGAGACCAGAGGCAAAGGAGATAATCTCGAGGGGTGAAATTTAGGAGTAATAATAGGTAACTCACAACTATTTTTTGGTTTATTTATCTCAAATAGAATGTAGCCATGAAATAGGAAAGGATAGATGAAAAATTACTGGATGAAAGGCCCATAAAAATGCAGTGATATCAAAATGGAAGGAGACAATTTGTTTGTTCAAAAGATACACTGAAGAATCAGATTATTAGTTAAATAGAGGAAGCCTTCTTCCATTGTGTTAGCTCACAGGCTGCCACCCTGAAGCGCTGTAGGAGCGCCAGTCTCAGGCACCACAGGGCGGCAGCAGCTTTCTCTCAGAAACTTCTCTGCTGAGGAGATCATGTGCTTGTGTAACAGGTGAAATTTGGCTTGATAAAAACCGCTGTCAGCTCGGGAGATGGCTCGGTCGCTGAAGCACTGGCTGTGCAGGCATGAGGTTCAGATCCATAGGTGGCTGTGTATGTAATCCCAGCGCTAGGCAGAGACATTATGTGCCCGGAGCTTTCTGCTCAGCTGCTCTAGCTAATTGATTTAGTGGAGGCTCTGTCTTAAAAGCTAAGGTGGAAACTGACCAAGGAAGACACCTGTGCGTGCATCTATATACACATATTCATGTACACACATGTAATTGATATAATCAGAATAACCCCATGATTAAAGCCTGTGATAACCCCTTTTCACTAATAAAAACAAAAACAGGGGGCTGGAGAGATGGCTCAGCAGTTAAGAGCATTGACTGCTCTTCCAGAGGTCCTGAGTTCAATTCCCAACAACCCACATGGTGGCTCACAATTGTCTTGGTGCCCTCTTCTGGCCTGCAGGTATATATGCAGATAGAACACTATATACATAATAAATAAATAAATCTTTAAAAAAACAAAAACAGGAAGATTATTCTTTAAAGAGATAAGAAAGTGTTTGCTGATTTCTGATAACACAAATATTAAAGAATAATTACTTAAAAATTTATTCTCTGTTGAATTTACTTCTAGAAATATAAACCATTAGTTGGGCATGGTGTTGCACACCCATAATCTCCCACTCAGAAGTCTAAGGAGGATCCCAGGTTTTAAGGCCAGACCCCCTGGTGAGACCCTTTTTACAAATGAAGAAGCCAGGAATGAAGCCTGCCTTTAATCCCAGCATCACAGAGGCAGAGGGGGCAGATCTCTGTGAGTTCTAGGCCAGCCTGGTCTACGGGTAGAGTTCTAGGTCAGCGAGGGGTATGTGGTGAAAGCTTGTCTCAAACACCACCAGGGAAGGAGGAGAGTACATTAAAAGCATTTGCACTCTCAAATTTGAAGACTTATGAACTAGAACTAAGGAGAGTCCTTAGTGCAAACATTTTGTGTACACTTTAGGTTTTCCTTCTGAACCTTTTTTGTTTTTATGTATTTGCTCTAGAGTGATGTCCCAATAGATCTGCTGGATGTGGATAAGAACTCTGCGGTGGCAAGCTTCAGCAGCTGTGACACAGAGGTGAGCTAAAACAAAGCGTAAGAACTACTGCTTCTGACATTCCCTTCCTGGCTTTTCTGGTCTAACCTGCTTGTGCCCTTCCCTCTCCTGACCCTGAGGCCCCGCCCTACACTCCTGGGTCCTGTCCTAGGCTCCCCTGGGCTCTTATCCGCTCTCATCTTGCTTTCCCTCTGCTAACTCTCTATGCCCCATCCTGTCCTCCTACACAACTTATCCCTATAGCTGCCCCCAGAGAGGTCTTTGTAAAGCACAAAGCCACTGAATCATTTCTCACAGCCTTTGAGAGGTTCCCGTTTCCTGCTGGATGTAAGTCTGGATCTTCCTTGTGCATAGAAAGCCTTTCTATGCTTCAGCTCTTAATTATAGCTCCAGCTACCCCTAGTGGGCGCTGCTTCTGTAAATCATTCGGTCATTGATCCTGATTTGTCGCATGCTGTTGTGATAAACATGAAGCCCCTGCTCATATAGAAGCCCATGCAGTCACGGCTCACTGTGCCCACACCTGTAGTCCCAGCACGTGAGGGTGGAAGGAGCTCGAGGTCACCCTTGGTACTAGCAGCTACCTTGTCTCGTCCCCCCCAATGAAACGACGAGAGGTATAAGTTTAAATATTTTCATTCTGAGTTTGCTCTAATAGAGTAACCTGTGTGGGGCTGGGAATGACGCTCAGTCGGTGGAGTGCTTACCTGGCATGATCAGAGCCCAGGGCTCATACCCTGCACTTCGTAAGCCTGGATGCTGGTTTATACCTGTGATCCCAACACTCTGGAAGACACAGGAGGGCCAGAAGTTCTAGGTCATGCCTGGTCACATAGCTACGCCAATCTAAGATACATGGCACCTTGCCTTAAACAAAAAGCAATTAACCTGCTTTATTACATCACTGTGGAATTCTCTGAAAAGCTTACTTTATGCTAATTTAAAGCTTGTTTCCAGCCAGGCGGTGGTGGCACACACCTTTAATCCCAGCATTAGGGAGGCAGAGGCAGACAGATCTCTGTGAGTTCAAGGCCAAACTGCTCTAGCAGAGTGAGTTCCAGGAGAGCCAGCGCTACCTGGAGAAACCCTGTCTCAAAAGAAAAGAAACATGTTTCTAGGACTGTGGCTTCTTAAGAAAGAATACTTACTGTGGAGATTTGAGATATTTAAAAAAGTAGAAGGGCATCTCTCACTTTCAGCATATGGCTCCCTCCTCACTGTCTCCTTTGCTTCTCCTAAACCTTTATTTTTTTAAAGTGCTAGGTATTCAAGTAAATAGCAAACAGTGTTGCTGATGGTATTTGTTGTTTCTCATCTTAAAATTCCTCCAGTCAAGCGACAATTTTCTTCTCGCCACTTACCGGTGCCAGGCAAATACCACCAGGCTGGAGCTCAAGGTAAGATGGTCGGAGTTGCTTTATTTCCATCTTATTCTTAGTTTTTGATGCTCAAGAACAATTTTTGACAAGTTTTGGGTTTTAGCTATGCGTGTACTTGCATGCGTGTGTGCGTGCATGTGTGTGTGTACATGTGAGTTCAGTGCTTACAAAGGCAAGAAAACATTAGCTACCCTGAAGCAGAGTTGGAGGCAGTTGTGAACCACCTAATGTGGGTAGCTGGGAATTGAACTCGGGACCTTTGGAAGAGCAATACACGCTCTTAAGCCATCTCTCTGACCTTATTACCTTTCTAAATGTTGAACTTTTTTTCCCCTTTGGTGTGTCTTATATGTGATGCCATTTCTCTGCATTTAAATTCTCTGTGAAATGAATCATTTTGAAGTAACACCTTCAAAATGACCAGTTGGGTTTTAATTTGTCTTGGCCACTGTTTCTGTTGTTGGGACTCAGTCTGTAGCTGTCTCTAAAATTACTGCTCTTGAAGTTTCCTCCAACAGGAAATTTTTTCTAGCTTTCTTTCAGTTTGTCAGAAAGAAGGGTGGTGGGGATGAGATCTGGTCTCACTTTGTAACCCGGGCTGAACTTGAAATTTGTCAATTAACTGGGATACAAATATGTGCCACCATGCCCGGCTTTGACAATTTTTCTGTTATGGAAATTCCAAGCAAGAAAATCAATGCGTGGCATGCTTGTCTTATGTCACTTGCCACCTAAAATCACTTTGAAGCAAACATAAGTATATTTATATTTTATTTGTAAATATTTCAGCATATTTAAAAGAAGAGTACTAAGCCAGGATTTGGTGACTCACGCCTTTAATACCAACACTTGGGAGGCAGAGGCAGGCAGCTGTCTGAGTTCTGGTCTACAGAGCGAATTCAAGTACAGCCAGGGCTACACAGAGAAATCCTGTCTCAAAAAACTAAAACAAGGGCTGGAGAGATGGCTCAGTGGTTAACAGCACTCTGACTGCTCTTGCAGAGGACCCGGGTTCAATTCCCAGCACCCACATGGCAGCTCACAACTGTCTGAAGATCCAGTTGCAGGGAATCTGACACCTTCACACCAATGCACATAAAATAAAGTTAAATAAACCATAAAAAAATATTAAAAAACTAAAACAAACAAACAAAAATATGAGTGCTCTTTTTTTACAAAAAAATGTAACTATAATACTATTTTCAAACAAAATTTGACAATAATTATTACCAAGTATGTATAAATTCTACTGATTCATTTTTACATATTTATCCATTTATGGTCTACACAAAGCAGAATTATTGAGAGTGTGGCAGAGTCGACAGAAGAGGCTGTGCCCCTTGAGCATTGCTCTGCAGTTTAGTACGCCATTCTTGGTGTCTGAACTCTCACCAGCTCCAACCAGCCACATTCAAAATATCCTGGCAGAGTGTCCCCGTCTGGGTGCAACCGGTTTATAATGTGCTTCTCTATGTGCTCCTAGAACAGATTTGCAACAGTGCCTCTGTATAATCCCAAATTCTGAGAAAATGAAGTATTCTAAGTTAGTTTTAATTATTTCAAAAAACGATTTTTTCTCTTTGATGAAAATGCCCAATTTTTAGCCATTTTTCTTGTGACTCTTTAAGAATATTATGCACTCACTGGGCGATGGTGGCGCACACCTTTAATCCCAGCACTCGGGAGGCAGAGGCAGGCAGATCTCTGTGAGTTCGAGGCTAGTTCCAGGACAGGCTACAAAGCTACAGAAAAACTTTGTCTCAAAAAACCAAAAAAAATAAAAAAAGGAATATTATGCAATATTATGCACTCATTTTTTATATGTGTAGGGTATTATTTGAGAATGATCCCTTATCTTGGATGGCGTGGGGACAGATGAACTGAACATACATGATGGTGATTCATTTAGCTAGACTGCCAGAGTCACTGAAAGTTTTCCTCTACGCTTGTGATAGAAGTGTTGGATAGATGTTCTGTATCCCGCAGATAGTCCAGGAGACTGGACTAGGCATACTAAGTGAGCATCTGAGAATGTGTTTATGCTGCTGACATCTGGTTTTCCTCGTACCAGATTCGCTCAATTGAAGGCCAGTATGGCACACTGCAGGCGTATGTGACTCCAAGAATTCAACCAAAAACCTGTCAGGTTCGCCAGTACCACATCAAACCGCTATCACTGCATCAAAGAACTCACTTTATTGACCCCGACAGGTAGGCTGGGAGAGAGTGCTGTTTCTTTAAGTTATTCCATTATTCAGGCAAGCCTGCTTTTATTTATATTGCATCTTATTTACTCTGTGTGTGCATGTGCGTTTGCGTGTGTTGTATGTGGGAACGCAGGTGCCATGCTGGAGCGTGGAGGTCTGGTACCAGCTTTAGGAAGTGGGTACCCTTTCCTCTCTCCACCGGCTGAGTCTTAGGGATTGAACTCAGGCTGTCCAGTCTGACAGGAAGTGTTTCCACCTGCACAGCCAGCTCCCCAGCTGGTGCCTCCTTTTGTTTGTTTGTTCGTTTGTTCATTTATCTATTATTTTTATTTTTAAGACTTTTTTACACCTGGGTGGTAGTGGCACACACCTCAGCACTTGGGATCTCTGTGAGTTTGAGGTCAGCCTGGTCCACAGAGTGAGTTCTAGGAGAGCCAGGGATGCATAGAGAGACCCTGTCTGGAAAACAAACAAACAGACAAAGAGCAGAAAAGCAAACAAAAGCTTTTTACAAAATTTAATATTTTCATTTTTCCTATTGAGATGTTTTATTTATTCTTTGAAAATTTCATACAATATATTTTGGCCATATTTTTCCTCTCTCCCAACACCCCTCAAATCTTCCTCCACCCCCTGTTCACCCAATTTCACATACTCTCTCCCTCTCAAACAACAACAAAAAGCCAAATGAGCGTGGAACCTAGTTTGTCTTGACAGGTTAAGACATGGCGCCTACCCTGATGTGTGGTTGATATACCCAGTGTTCAGGGTTCTATTGTTGTGAAGAGACACCCTGACCATGGCGTCTCTTATAAAGGAAAAACATTTAATTGAGGTGGTGACTTACACTTTTGAGGTTTAGTCAGTTTTTCATCATTGTGGAGAACATGGTGGTATACAGGCAGACATGGTGCTGGAGAACTCTACATCTTGATCCAAAGGCAACAGGAAGTGGTCTATCTCACTGGGTATAATTTGAGCATATATGAGACCATAAAGCCTGCTTTCATAGTGACACACTTCCTTTAACAAGGCCACACCTACTCCAACAAAGCCACACCTCCTAATAGTACCACTCCCTTTTGAACCATCATATTCCTCTCCCTGGTCCCCCAAAGGCTTGTAATCATATCATAATGCAAAAATGCATTCAGTCCAACTTCAAAAGTCCCCATAGTCTATCACAGTCTCAACAATGTTTAGAAGTTCAAAGTCTCTTCTGAGATTCATGCAGTCTCCTAACTGTAATACCCTATAAAAATCAAAATAAAAAACAGTTTTTCTAACATATAATGTCCCAGGATATACATTACCATTCTAAGATGCAGGGACAAGAGCATAGTGAGGAAATACTGGATCAAAACAAGACCAAAAACCAGCTGGACAAACTCCAGACTCTGTATCTCCATGTCTGATGTCAAAACGCTCTTCAGATCTCCAACCCCTTTCAGCTTTGTTGACTGCAACACACTCCTTGTTAGCAGCTTTCCTCTGCAGGTATCCTGAAGCACAATTAATAAAAACTCAGAGAGAGAAATTGGGGTTCAACGTGAAGATCTGAAAAGCAAAACAGCCAGCCACTGGTTCTTACCTCGACCTCAGTCTGAAATGGTAACCCTCATCTCAGAAGGAGATTGTGTCTGAGATCTGTCCCCGTCTTCCCATCTTATAATCTTATATTCCTCTCTAGGGCTGAGATTAAAGATGTGCACTACTGGGATTAAAGGCATGCACCACCCGATTTCTATGGCTACTAGGGTGGCTAATGAGATTAAAGGTGCGTGTCATTGTGGTTACTGGGATTGAAGGTGTGTATTACCATAACCTGGTCTGTAAGACTGACCAGTGGGACTGTTTTACTCTCAGATCTTCAGGTAGTCTTTATTTATTAAAGTACAATTGAAATGCCACTACAGTATCCCATGCCTCTGGCATCTCTAACTTATTGAGGTCTCCAAAACAATACTGGCCTTCTCCTTCACATCTTCATACAGTGTCTTCTCTGGGCTCCATTCAGTGACACCTCTGACATATGCCTGGCCTCAGTGGCTTTCCTTAGTCACAGAGAAAGGTTCCATAATGCCTTTCTTCTGTCCTTGACTGGAAAGTCAGAACCATATGACTGAAGCTGCCAAGTTCTGCTGCTTGCTGTGGCTGGAACATGGCTCCCTTGTTCGATTACATCTTCACCAGCTTTATTTTCCATGGTTACCTTCACTGCCTAGACTTGGATGTCCTTGAACTTGTTCTGTTAACCAGGCTAGACCTCAAACTCAGAGATTTGCCAAGCTGTGCTTCAATAGTGCAGGGATTAAAGGCATGCACCACTACACCCAGCTCTAAGCTTTTCTTTAATTCTGTTTTGCAAGTTAGAAACTTAGCTGGGTGGGATTGCTCTGATGTCACCACTCCCTTTATTCCATATCTTAATCTGTTTATTTTCTTGAACACAGGGTTTAGCTCTGTTCCACTTCCTGGTGTCCCTTTTTCCACTCTGTACATGTTGTATCTTTATTTGCTCAGCTTGTTCCTTTTCATTATAAATCTTCAGTAGAGTTAACACTAATGTCCATATGACGAGTCTATACTAGACTGTTTTGAGATTTCTTCTGCCAATGGAACTAATATAAAACTCTTCAGTTTAGCCTCAGGCAGACTTTCAGGATAAGAGCAAAAAGCAGCCACATTCTTTACCAAAATATCACAAGAATGATCTCTGGGAAACATACTGAAATTCTTCTCCTCTGAAACTTCTTGGGTCAACCCCCCCACAAATCAAATCACCTCAGCCCCACTGTCTTCCATGCTCCTACTAATGAAAGACCCCCCCAGTGTGGGGACCGCAACAGGAACTCACAAGAGACCGTCCTTGCTGCAATCACACGAGATTTATTGACAGGGACCAGCACTGGGGCCGAGACTCATATCCCACTGGGAAGAGTTCGACCTCAAGTAGCTGGGAGAAGGGGTATTTAAGGGAAGAAACCCCAACCCAGTAATTCAAAGGGGGTAAGGAGTGTGTCATTGGAAGATTCCAAAAATACCAGTGATCATTGAAAATTCTGAAAATACCAGTGATAATCACAAGGGGATAACTCCCTGTTTCTCAAGATTATAATCTAACTTTATATTCAGCTAGTTTCCGAAACAGAGTCACTGACCCGGCTAATCTAGATTTTTGGCTCTTCTCTTCCTGCTAGATTTTTGGCTCTATTTTTTTTCCTGCTAGAGGGGTCTAAATTTATCCGGTCTTTCACTACCATTAAGTAGCACTTAAAGCAATCCACTGCTTTCCTAACCCAAAGTACCAAAGTCCAAATTCTTCCCAACAAAAGCATTGGTCAGGTCTATCATAGCAATACCTAGTCCCTGGTACCAATTTCTGTCTTAGTTAGGGTTTCTGTTGCTATGAAGAGACACCACAACCATAGCAACTCTTAAAAAGGAAAAATTTAATTGAGGTGGCAGCTTGCAGTCTCAGAGATTTAGTCCATTATCACCATGGCAGGGGGCATGGCAGCTGGGAATATGGCCTTGTGCAGGCAGACATGGTGCTAGAGAATTCTAAATCTTGATCCAAAAACAACTGGAACTGAACTGCCTCACTGGGCACGATTTGATCATATATATGAGACCCCAAAGCCCACCTCCACAGTGACACACTTCCCCCCAACAAAGTCACACCTCCTCCTAGTGCCACTCCTTCGGGACCATTGTCTTTCAAACCACCACTCCCAGTGTCTCTCAACTGAAGACGACCGACCGAGTTTTCTCTGTCTTAGCAGCTATCAGTTTCAGATAGTTTCTTGGCTAGGGACGGGACTTGGTGCCCTCTTCTCTACGCTAGGGTTTCTTCTGGCTTGAGTTTGTGCAGGTCTTATGCATGCCGACACAAGTTCTGTGCGTTCATATGTGTATCCATCCTGTCGTGTCTAGAAAAGCTGTTTCTTTGGAGTTATCCATGACCACGTTTGGCTCTTACTCTCTTTCTGCTCCTTCTTCTGCAAAGATCCCTGAGCCTTAAGGAAATGGCTGTGACATAGACATTCCAAGTCTCTTACTCTCTTCACATTGACAAGTTATGGGTTTCTGTGTTAATCACCATCTACTGCAAAAAGAAGCTTTTCAGATGAGGGACGAGCACTCCATCAATCTATGGGAATAAATATGTCATTGGGTGTTGTTTTATTGCTGTGTTTCTTTAGCAGAATAATGATAGTTGGTTCCTTTAGAACCATTCTAACCGAGGTTCTTAGCCTCATTGATAGATCAGGTATGGGTTTCATCGCAAGGAGTGGGCCATAAATCTAAATTTTTAAGGGTGGTTGGCTACTCCCATAACGTTTGTACCACTGTTGCACCAGTGGGCATACCATGCAGGCAATTCATTATTGTAGCTCACATGGTTTGTGGCTGGATGAGACTGATGATTTCTTTTCTCTACCAGGAGCATGTGTAACACCTTCCAGCACTACAAATGCTCCCCAGTAGGGACCAAGCTACCAGTTGAGTGCCAGTCCGATTTCTCCTTGTTTTATGACATAAATATATATTAATATATATTTATAGGGTAACTATAGGGTAATAGGGTCTAACTGTCAAGTTGTGAAAGATATGATTAGCATTGGCAATACCCTGTTGTGTTTGGGGGTGGGGTGCAATCTATAGGATCCCATTAAGTCAACAACTCAAAAGATGAAATCCACTCCTGATACTTGGGATTTTATTTGATAGGATATTATGTCTAATTGCGGTATTGCATCCCCTATTTTAAATGTGTGTGTGTGTGTGTGTGTGTGTGTGTGTGTGTGTGTTAGGAAATTTCTATGGTAGTAGGTCCCATATGTCTTTTTCAAAAGGCATATATTAGTTATCCCTCTCCATATTCCCCCTGTACTCTGTCCTCCCATCCTCCCCACCCCATTTAGTTCTCCTGTTCTAATCCTGCTTTATCCCTATATAACACTGTATTTTATTTCCACTTCCTTTGAAGATCCTATCCTCCTTCCTGGTCCCTTACTAGCCACCTAACCTGTGTGGGTATTCTAAAGGAAGCACACATATCTAAAGCATAAAAGTCAATGCACACATATGAGAAAATATGCAGTGAGTGTCTTTCTGGGTCTGGGTACCTCATGCAGGATGATCGTTTCTGGCCCCACCCATTTACCTGCAAATTTCATAATTCCATTTTTCTTAACAGCTGAATAATATTACATTGTATGTCTGATAGTTGTGTCAACATTTAAAAATTAAAAATTATTTTAACTTAAATATTTAATAATTAGCTATGACTTTAATATTTCTAATAAACACAAGACACTTTGCTGTATTTTAGAAGCTGTGTTGAGTTAGACTTCCCTGTCACCTCTTGCCATTCTGAGATCACTGAAGTAGCAGAGTCCGTGAGCACCCACCTACCGTGAGGCGGAACCCTGGTTCCCTGTGAGCAGCCTGCACTGTGCTAGCCTTGGCACTGCAGTCCCTCTGTTACTTCTCAAGTAGTAGTGGAAGAGCGGTCAACTGTGATAGCTCCTCATATTTCTCATATAAGCATCTTAATGCTGATAGCTTTTTTGGGACAAGATAACATGGGATTAAGCAAAAGAAAAAGGAAAGAGATAAACAGTAATTTAATATTTTGTGACATGTATTTTGCCAGGTGCTTATATATTTTCTATTTTTTTTAAAAAAATAATTTATTAGCATATATTACTTTTACATAATGCATTTATTTTTATTATTATTCAGATCTGTGTCTGCCCTACCTCAAGCCCAGATGTTAAAGTTTACAATATGTTGATTATTTCCTTGAGTTGATTCATATGTGTTTTGTAGTCTATGTAATACAAATACTACATAAATTTCCAAACAAGCAAATCTACCTGAATAGTCTCAATTAGCTTATAAAGCCTGTTATGATGAGAAAGAAGCTACTCACTATAAGGCACCTAGCAAAAACAAGTATGGTTATAGACAATCATTCAGACATTTGTTTGATATGTAAGATTAATTTCATAAAACTTATTTTTAAGGGAGCTGGAGAGATGGCACTGCCTACTCTCCCATAGGACCCGGGTTCAGTTCTCAACACCTACATGGCAGTTCACAACTGTCTATAACTCCAGTTCAGGGGATCTGACACCGTCATACAGACATACATGCAGGCAAAGCCCAGCATACATTAAATAAAGAAATATTTTTTAAACAGACTTCTCTTAGAAGTATTTACTTAAAGCTGACAGTGGTAGTGCACACCTGTAATTCTAGCACTTGGAGACTCAGGCAAGACCGACGTGCATTTGAGGTTAGCCTGGTGGGTGTAGTAAGATTCTGGGCTACATGGCCCCTGTACACAAATTTAAAAATTAGGAGAATAAAGTGTTTAGCCGTATTTGAAATTCTGCTTATAAATGTATATGTATAGTGTTTTCACGGCTCCACACACAAATACACGCCTCTGCTGCTCACTTGCAGGCCCATGAACACACTGACTCTAATAGGCCAGTTCAGCTTCGCTGAAATTCACTCCTGGATGGTGTTCTGCCTGCCTGAAGTTCCTGAAAAGCCTCCAGCAGGAGAGGGTGCGACATTTTACTTCCAGAATACCTTTCTGGATACACAACTCGAATGCGTATACAGGTAAATCAGATTTATTCCTTGCTAATAAATGGTAATATAAAACACCAATGTTTTCATTTGTTTTAAAACAGGAATCATTTCAAAATAATGTAATTAAAAATTGGTAATGTCCAACAGAAGCTAGTAAATAAATAGGATTAAGTGTAAAAATGTCATTAGTATAGATAAGTATGTAAAAATTAATGTTTCCCATTAATATGTCTATAAAATCTGTAGTAATTATATAAATATAATTTCCTACAGTTTTTAGATGATTGTTAAACCCATTAAATCTATGATGTCATTTAAGATGTCTTTATTTTTTTGCAATCAATGAGAATGGGGTATTGGAGTCTCCTGTGTTATTATGCTGGGCTAACCTGGTATTTGTTTTAGAGATAGAATGGACCCATGTTCAGTTTGTGTATGTTTAGAATTGTAATGTCCTCTTGACAGATTGTTCCTTTAATCAATATGAAGTTAATTTTTGTCTTTTCTGACTAGTTTTGCTTTAAAGTCTGTTTTGTTAGATTTCAGAACAGTGGCACTGCTTGCTGGCCACCTCGTTTGCTGGGATCAGGGTTTGCTGGGATCAGGTTTCTTTCCTTTTAATGTCTAGCAGCCTCTGTCCTTGAAGGCAGGGTGTGGGCTTCAGAGGCTACAGCAGAGAGGTCCTGCCCTTAAATCCCTTCTGCTAATCAGTGACCGATGAAAGGGAAATTGAGAACACTATTATTTAGATTTTTAACTAAAAAGTTTGTATCACTGCCTGTCCTTTTGTTGATTTTGAAGTATTTTGGTGTTCTCCTGTTCTCTCCTACTTAATCATTATCACTCAAGAGTGGTTTATTCTTCCCTTGCGGCCCCATGGATGTGTTTGTAATTCTCTTCAGTCAGAGAATTCTTTTAGTATCTTCTATGAGTTGGCTTAATGGTCATGAATTGTTTTTGTTATGGGAAACTTTTTCTTGCCCCTTCAGTTATGACCGATAGCTTTGCTGGAGGTGGTGGTCTGGGCTAACAGTTATTCTTTTTCGAAATTTGAAAGTTGTAACTTTGTAGCTTTTTAGAGCATCTCTTGGAAACCCTGCTGTATTGCTCAGTCTGCTTAGTGTGTGATTTGATGATGCTCTCTCGCTATTTTCAGTGTGTTTTCTTGGTTCTGAATATCTAGTCGTTTAACTATAATGACAAGGGGAAGTTCTTAGCATCCTATCTGCCTCTATCTGCATAGCCATTTCTTTGTCTAACTCGGGGAATTTTCTGCTGTGATGTTGTGGAAACTGTTTCTGTGTCTTTGAATTCAATTTCCATGATGCTTAGGTTTGAAATTTTCGTTGTGTCCCAAATATCTAAAAGTGCAGTGTGGACCATTTTAATTTATCCTTGTTCTTGGGGGGATGTGCTGATTCCTGGAATTACAAGTGTTCTCCATTTTTCCTGGCATGGGAAGTAGAGTTTCCTAAAGAAAACTATGGGTCCTGGGGTCATAAGTCGTGGCAGTGGATGCTAGGCCTTAAAAACAACAGGTGTCTATTGTCCAGGCTGGATACCAGATTTATTTTAAGGATAAAGCATATAGTAATTCTGTAGTTTATTTGTGTGAATACATTAAATAAAAATGTATTTATGTATGTGTATAAATAAGCAATTCTAAATACATTTTATATATGAGGTTAGTTGACAATATTAACGTCCACAAAGAAACCAGTTTTAAATGGGTTATTCAAATATTCTCATCCAAAGAGGATTGTGTGTAACAGGATCTTTAGTTTTGAGTTCAGAAGCCGCCTTGGTATGGTAAAGGATAGAACACATGTTTAAGTATGCTTTATGTTAATGTTATACACAGCTCATCTTAAGTCAAGTGAAATTTAAACTAAACTCTAGGTAAAAATATGTGTCTATAAGACCACTTGCTCCTATAACTTTTCTTTGTAAAAATACATTGATTTTGTAGGAAAGGAGAAGGAGTTTTTAAATCTGACAACATTTCTACAATATCCATCCTGAAAGATGTACTTTCTAAAGAAGCCACAAAAAGGAAAATTAACCTCAACATATCATATGGTAAAAAAGGAAAATCCTTCATTCATCCAGTTTTTACAGTTATTATAATACTGATGTTTTTCATGAAAGTGACTTCCCTGCCTGGCCCATTTCTTGTAGAGATAAACGAAGTATCAGTCAAGCATACTCTGAAGCTCATCCACCCAAAGCTGGAGTACCAGTTGCTTCTGGCTAAGAAAGTGCAGTTAATTGATGCCTTAAAGGTAAGGATGTGCATGCATCAGTGGGATCGTGAGCGTGACTGTTAGCACTGGGTTTTCTAGTGATAATACTTTATATACAATTTGACCATTAAGGTGCTTCTCTCTCTTTTTTTTTTTTTAAACAAGGAATTGCAGGTTCATGAAGGAAATACGAACTTCCTGATTCCAGAATATCGCTGTATTCTAGAAGAAGCAGATCACCTACAAGAAGAATACAAAAAGCAGCCTGCACACCTTGAAAGGCTCTATGGTGAGTGGACCTTTCTAGCACACGCTGCTGTACTTCTTTCTCCTTAGCAGTTTATTAGCTCAAGAGTTGTGAAAGGAGCTAGCAGAGATCACAGCTGTCCTGAACCTGTGTCAGCCAGGTTATTGTACAAAGTATTTCTGTATTTTGCCAAGGTAGCCTTACATTTTAACCTTTTTTTCTTTGCAAGTAATCCGGGTGATGTGGTGGTGATGGCACAAGCCTTTAATCCCAGCACTCGGGAGGCAGAGACAGGAGGATCTCTGTGAGTTCGAGGCCAGCCTGGTCTACAAGAGCTAGTTCTAGGACAGGCCCTAAAGCCACAGAGAAACCCTGTCTCGAAAAACTAAAAAAAAAAACAAAAAAAAAAACACAAATAAGCAAACAAACAAAAAAAGAAATGCAAGTAAATGAGAAAATGGAATTATTACGTGCACAGTGAAGAAGCCTTTCGACCCCACAAGACCTCACCATCCACACTTTATCTCTCACAGATGAGTTTCTCAGGTTCTGTCGCTGCTGTAAAAATGCAGTCATTTAATCTATTCATGCAAAACTTCCACAGGGATATTTGTGTGATGCTTCAATTCACAATTTAAAACTTGTTTTGCTTTGGTGAGGAGCTGGGTATGTTACAGATTATATTGACAGCAAGAGAAAAGATGGAAGGAAGTGGAGGCAGAGATGGAGGGAGGGAGGAGCGGCCTCAGCAAAGGGCTTGTCTGCAGTCCTCCTGGGAGACCCACTGTATGCAGCACACCACACTGTCTTCCAGGAGGTTTTTAACTGTTGCAACAGCTCTACAAGGTGGATGGTTTTATCTTCATTTTCAGTATTCTTTAGCCAGACGTGAGAGGAAAGTTTGCCATCACATAGCTAGTGAGTGGCTAAGCCTTCAGGACCGTCCCTCCCTGGGCCACTGGCATTGTCTTCCTCAGCCCACACTGGCCCGCTGGCTGCAGACTTCCTCCCGCAGGAACAGCAGGAGTATTCTAATGCTCACGGTATGACGTGCACAGGATCTCTTTTACAGTGTCCTGAAGTGAAGGTGTTGTAGATCTACCAGCTCTTCCCTGTGCTTCCAAAATCCAGAAAGCAGCTTTGGAAATCAAGAGTTTTGCTTTTGTAAATCATTTACCAGCAAAATGTGCCTTACTGTGATTGACTATGACATGAAGTCAGTTTCTAATCTTTTTTATTCCATTTAGTGCAAATGCATAATCACCTATAAATTTTTTTGCCAAAGTATTGCCATGTTGCTATCAGACGTTGTTGCCGCTCAGTCCCATGTTATATTCTTTTTCTCCTGTCTCTGTTCCTAAAATCTACTTGTCTCCGGGGTCTTGTATAAATGACTGACAACTTGAACTATCTCTGTTTTGTTTTATTTTATTTTTTTTATTTATTGTTTTTTTTTTGAGACAAGTTTTCTCTGTAGCTTTGGAGTCTATCCTGGAAATAGTTCTGTAGACCAGGCTGGCCTTGAACTCCCAGAGAGCCACCTGTCTCAGCCTCTCCGAGTGCTGGAATTAAAGGTGTGCACTACCACTACCTGGATTGTCCCTGCTTTACATCTGGGAAACTCAGAGCTGAAATAATTTGTCCCTGACCTATGAATCCAGTAAGCCCAGAGGCAGAGTGTTTTAGTCCAGTTGATGCTTCCTGGTGGAGCAGACGTCACGGTTGTCTGCGCCAGCAGTTAGAACCAGTTGTTAGAAAGGTTATTAAATATTTATGTCTTGAATGTTGCTTAAAACCCTCCCCATATACACACTTATTTTTATAAAGACCAACATTTTCAAGGTTTATATATGCTGAATAATGACATGTCGGTGATTATAAAGCACTAACTGCGTTGTTAAATAACTCATCATTGACAGGAAGTAATGTTTTTCTCTCTAGGTATGATTACTGATCTTTTCATAGATAAATTTAAGTTCAAAGGCACGAATGTAAAAACTAAAGTACCTGTTCTACTGGAGATTCTTGACAGCTACGACCAGAATGCTCTGATTTCTTTCTTTGATGCCGCATGAAGGATGAACAAGGTAGGGCCTACAGCACAGTCTGCTTAACAAAAAGTGGTGAGGAGGAACCACTCTTGATACACGGAATATCTGTGATATTATAATTAAGTGATGCGCCTACTTATTGGAATTGTTTAACAATGGAGAGAATTTTATTTCTAAAACATAAGTGGAACTGGGTGTGGTGGCTACTGCCTGAATTCTTGGCACTCAGAAGGCTGAGGAGAGAGGGTTAACTGTGAAGTCAAGGACGGCCCAAGTCAACCTGGGATAGAGCAGAAGACCCTGTCTCAAAAATCTAAACAAGCTGGGTAGGGGCTGGCGAACACCTTTAATCCGAGCAGAGGTAGGCAGAGGCAGGGGAATCTCTGTAAGTTCGAGGTCTACAAAGTGAGATCTAGGACTGTCAGAGCTATGCAGAGAAACCTTGTCTTGGGGAAAAAACAAACATAAGTAAAATGATTATAAGAGCTATTAACGACTTTTTGACAAATGATATTTTAATTTCTAAATTGAGAATTGGAAAATAAAATGTTATTTTTATAAAATACACATAAGTGTACAAACTTCATGTTTTATAATGTATTTTCCCTTTATATATCACATTACTTGTTTGATCTTCCTGACTATTCTGTAAACTCATCAACCACTTAAGTGAAGCTGATGTAAGGGGCCATGCTAGAATTTTATAAGGCTGGGCAAGTTTATAAAGGTACCCCATTTCTCTGTCATGAGGTGGAAATAGGATTTGGAATGAATTTACACCCCATTTCTTTCTTTCTTGGTGACATGATCCTCCTGCAGGTTGTGAAATACTTGACTTAGTGCTGTAGACTGGCCAGCGAAGTAAGCAGAGCTCGCTCAGACTGGAGGGATCCCGGGTGGGCGTCCTGGATGTAACCAGATGAGCTGTAAAGTGTTCAAGTGAAGAGTGATGGCGGCTAAGATTTTCCCGCACTGGTATCCACGAAACTACTTTTTGATTATATGTCCGGGGGAGGGAGAGACTTTCAAGCAATAGACGTTTTATACATTTATAGGAGAATATTGTATTAAAGTTTAAATATATTATAAAGATAATGGAAAACAGCTATCTTTTGCTTTCAAAGGATAGTTATGCCTTTTTCAGAAAATGATAATTACATTGTTATCTTTTGTGTACAATTCTTAAATAGTAAATGTAAACATTTAAGGCATATATGTTGGGTCTTAATAAGCTCACATTTTTTTCTTATATTTTCTGAAGGCTTTCTTGGTACACCCAGGTCCCTGTTTTTCATATGATCACTTTTTGAGACCACGTCTTACTATATAGATGGTTTGGAACTAGTTATGTAGGCCTAGCCGGCCTTGAAGTCAGAGATCCAGAGCTCTGGAATTAAAGGTACACACCACCGTGTACATTATTTCTACATGTAGTATCTATTTGGGTCCACAGGACTTTGTAGTGTGCTTTGTTGGATATCATAATCAAGGGTAAACAAAATTAACGAACGTTTGAATTTCTTCACATACACCCATTTGTTTCATGGTTATCAACAAGAGCTCAAGTTGGCATTTTAAATTGATCACATCTTTATTAGAGGGCAGGGGAAAAGCTTACTGGAATAATGCCGGGTGTAGAACTTCTGAGACAGTGGCAGGCGGATGTCTATGAATTGCAGGACAATCCGGGCTGCAGTATTAAACCCTGTCTCAAAATTAAACAACAAACAAACAAAAAAATATACTGGAGAGGTGATGCAAAGAGAGAGAGAGAGAGAAAGGAAGAGAGAGAGAGTTTGTATGTGTGTGTTCTGTTAGGTGAGAGAGAGAGTCTGTATGTGTGTGTTCTGTTGAGAGAGAGAGAGTTTGTATGTGTGTGTTCTGTTAGATGAGAGAGAGAGAGAGAGAGAGAGAGAGAGAGAGAGAGAGAGAGAGAG